ATTTTTTTTTCCTTTTCTCCCCCGTTGCCCTGCACTGCATAGAGAAATTAGCTGCTGACCAGAATGGACTGTTTGTAAGTATGGTAATACGTTTTTGGCGCAGAAGACTTTGTTGACGACTGAATGGTGGCGCAGTTGGTAGCAACGTTGCAGCAAGACGGTCCAATATGTCTGTTCCCAACAAAAACGCGTGAGAGCAAGATGTTCAGCGGATTTCAAGAGGACTGTCTCCGTCTTGTCGGTTTTGAGCTTTCAGTCTGTCTGTCTGGGACAAACCAGATGTAGAAATGCTGGCAGACTTTATGGAGCCCAACCCTAACGCATCCCTACATACTGGTGTGTTAGTAAAATTAGACATGATGATACAGTTAATGGCAAATACAAAACGCCAGAAATGTGACCTTTAAAAAAAAAAAAAAAAATCTCTACTTTAAATTTTGCGTAGACTCGTGTTTTAAAGTGTAAGTGAAGAACCCTGTTTGATGATTTTATACTTGAACATACAAAATACACTCAGTGTTGATTGTTTTATTAAGTTTCCATGTATCAAATTAGCTTTTTGAATTTGTGATCAATTTCTCCTTGGCTTAGGTTTACTTCTAAATTATTATTATTTATCTTTTTTACTGAAGACCAACAAGATCATCTAATGCTGTTTTTCTCGGTAAAAAGGACAGACTTTTGGAATCTTTCACCTACAGAAATAAGTTGGACTGACATTAAACTTTTAAATTTCAAAAGGGAAGTAATATTGTAGTTGGCGTAATCATAGGTTTTCTGTAATATAGCTATTATTTGACTATTTTTATTGACATAATCCAAGTATCTTTGTACATGTTTCTCTTAATTCTCTTTGATGTTTTTGTGTATCATACTAGAAAATTATAATGTATTACAGTTTTCACTGGTAAATGTGCAAATATAAATAATTAATGGCCGCTAATGTCCAAAATGGCTAAAAAGAGAACTAAAATTGAAAATACTATTCTTATATCCACTTGTATTTTAGTTCTTGATGAGAGTTGAGAACAGGTCAGGTGAAACCTTTACAAAATTTTAAACTCAGACATCAGACACAAAATTCTGATCACTCGTCTGATCCCTATTGAAAAGTAAAACCTTCTGTCCAATTTCTTTTTTCTGTTCAGCACATTACACACACACAGAAAGAAAAAAAAGAAGAAAAAAAAAGAAAGAAAACTTGGGAAGATTTCTCGCGCCAGCATCCTCCACTCAGCCTGGTCCGTTTTGTCGGTAACAAGATGTCTGATGATATCTGAACAGACTTACAGGAGCACATCACGTCTTATTCCCAGATACTCGTTGGCTTCTGTCAGACCGCAGCTTCCTTCCCCACTCCGTGAGAGTCGGAGCCTCGTCCGGACAGGTAAACACGACCTCTCTTTTTTTGTCGACAGGCATTGTTAAAAGGCTGCTGTGGTCACGTCAGAACCTGGACCGGATACGCGGGCCGAGCTATTCTGGCCCAACGCGCAGAGTCCCCTTCTGCTCTACAAAGCTGATGCAGCGGAAACATGACGGGGAAAAAAAAAAAAAAAAAAAAAACAGAAACACGCCAACAGACGGGACCCCGCGTCAATAATGACGGACATTTTAATCACGTTTTGAAATATAAAGGATAAGAGCAGAAATCGAAGATGAGGCAAGAAAAGCAAAGAAGCAGCTGGAAGAAGAAAGGACTGAATAGATTCAAACGTTTCTCCAGGGAAGGCAGTTTGTTCAACATGGCTGCCTGAGCAGAGGAACTATGGCCGGGGGGGAGGGGTCACGATGACAAATCATTTCCTACTCTGCTTTCTATCCTCCTCTCCTAATTTCTGTCCTTTCCTCGCTCTCTTTCCCGTCTCCTCCTATTAAGCGGCGTGCTGTGGAGTGTATTCCCTCAGCTCGAAACATTCTGCTGGACTTATTGCAACTGATGAAAACTCTGACATCTGCTTGTCCTACTTACCAAGAGCGCACACAATCTAAAGCTTTTCTCGGAAGCCAGTTCGCCTCGACCAATTATAAAGCTCTTCCCCTCGGTGGCCCCGAATCAGAATCCCTGGATGTCAAGTTCGCAGTGCAGCACAGACGCCAAAGATCACCAAGAGTCAGCCTTTTTTCTTCTTCGTTTTCCAAAACATCAGATGAGGCGTGCGTTTCGTGCACGTCGTTTTTGCTTCCTCAGTTATTATCGCACCGATGACTATGACTTTGCAACAGAGGTGCCGGGAAATCGTAAATCCTAGTCCTGGGAGTTTTGAATCGATTGTAAAATGCTCATAAAATCTATTTTAGTTGTCCATCTTCGCGGCTCGCATTTGCCAGTGTGTAGGAAGTCGCATCCACTTGGCCACTGTAAAGGGCGTGTATGTATTTTGATTGACTCTGATATTAAGTAATTGTTTTCTATAAATGTGCTATTTGCTTACACTGTCATTCTCTTGTCACTCACTTCATTTAACTAGAATATTCAGAGCATTTGAGTTGGAAAAATTGGTTTCTGAATTAAAAATTGCAGGACTGGATGATAAATTAATAATACATCACGATAGACATGTTATCAATATTGATAAACAATAGATCTGATACAATATCCAATATGTAGAATATTCACTGAACTCCGATCCAGAACTGCACAGCATTGTGGGGGATGTAGGCAGAGGAAAGACTTTAGCTATTCAACCTCTCACAGTGAGCTAATAAGCAAGGTTGGTGGCATCAACTAACTCATTCACTGTTTGGTTACCTAGCAACCGCTTGTTTAAGTTTTGCCACAGCTTACAAATAAAACGCAGCGGCCTCGAGTGAAAACTGAGGATAAAACAGGAAAGGTCATGCCACCAGTTTGGCATGACCTTCATTTCTTTTGTTTATTTAAAACAAAAGAAACAAATCAATAATTATCGATATCGACTGATATGAAACACTTATATCGTGATATGTTGCTCAGCCATATTGTCCAGCCCTATTCTGAATCAAACTGTGAACCCAAGAATCATTGAAAGAGTCACATCTCTACTGAGTCAGTCGGCAGGATGTTAAGGTGGCCACTTCTCACAAGTTGATCACATAAGTGGGACACAAACATACACACACACACACACACACACACACACACACAAGTCGGTTTCCACCAATGGAAGGCCACACCGAGGTCTCTTGAAAAGATGAAATGCGTGCGCGCCGAGCTCATTTAAATCTAGTAATCTTTCAGGCTTAGCCAGCTGCTTGCTGCACATCAGCGGATATAAAACCGCGCGCTTCTTTCTCTCACCGAGGAACTGCTCGCTCTCCTGCTGTTTGCCTCCTGTTACGCCATCTTTCCCTCAGGGAGGGAAGAATTGCAATCAATTAATGCCGAGATAGCTTTAGAGGTCAACACAAAAGTGTCTCACACCATCGACTGAGACATTCTGCCCTTTCTCCATTGCTCAGTCACCCGCACTGCACAGTTTTTTTGTTTGTTTGTTGTTGTTTTTTTGAGCGCCGAGCGTTGTGTAAATAATGTCAGAGCTTTAACTTAATTTTCCGAATTCGCCCAAATTGTTAAGAGCACAGCAGATGGAAGGAAATGCTTTCTACAGGGGCCAATTTGTTAAACTGCTGCATTTATCTCAGATCAAGAGAAAGAAAAAGAGATTGGATTTATTGCCAAGACCACTGAGACACTGGCTTTTACAGATAAATGAACTTTAATGACAGTCCAGTCCTCAATACACAGGTTTTTATATAAAGTTAGGTCACCCTTTTCAGCTGTAACAAGGTTTAGCATTTCATCGATGTTGAACGAGAAGGCCCGACTCTCTCCATCTCCACTTAACTTCATCCTGTCTAGTTGAGGTCAACGATCAATGGACACACACCAAACTTGGTCATCTGTGTCCTTATCAATTGTTTTGTGGACTGGTGTGCAGCCATGTTGCAACATAAAAGAATAATCTAACCACAATTTCTTAGTTTTCCCCGACAGGGAAATGTTAATCATTTCTCCAGACAGCAGGTTTTAAACACGATAACGTCCAGTTGCGCTATGCTTACACTGTTGTTCTGACATTCCTGACCCTTTCCTTAAGTTGCTGATCTTTCTCATTTCTTCCACTTTCTAAAGATACACATTACAGTTAATTATGTGGATGACTAAGGTAGGAAATTTCAGCAATGAACCCTCTGCAAAGCTGATATCCTAACTTTGCATAGATGCGTTTTCATTACAAATGTGAGCAAAAACTTTGCTCAGCATTTTGCTATTGTTGGAAAAACACAATTTCACAATTGCAGAGTTTTCATTAAATAAGAAACGCAATTCAAGTCACATGTTAATAAGTCATTAAAAAAAACACGATGCCGTGATGCCCCAACTACTTCCTGTCGTCGTCTTCTTCGTGGTTTGCACCAGTGGCAACATCCGGTTGTTGGTCATGCGAAAAAAGTGTTTCATTTGCACGTTTGCCAAAACAAAAAAACAATTTTGATGGGGACAAAAAAATAAACAACTCATCCTTGAGGCAAAGGATTTTATCAAAAGATTAGTTTTTTTTTCTAAATTGCCGAGTTTCCATCAAGTAAATTGATTTTTGAAATATCAAATTGTGCGATTATATGATCAATGGACACACAGCTATTGAGGCCCAAACTCTTTGAGCTACTGAGAGCTGATTTACAAGTCTGTCTTAATACTTTTAGCAATATAGCACCTATGTACAGGAATAAGTCAATTATTTTGTAAAGACATAAGTAAAACAAAACAATTTGCAGCTGCAAAGGCTTAATAAACATAGTTTTTGTATCCGTTTGTGTGTTTTCACTGTCCCTAAAGTTACTCTGTCTTTTTCTAACAAGGCAAAAACAAAATGCTCTTTGGCTCAACTAGCAACTCTGAATTTGCCTTGTGCTTGCCCCGTGAGGGACGGAGGACCTGGCCATGGATTGCATAAACATCAACGCTTTGTCAACAAGGTAGATGGACAGAAAAACAGTGGTTTCCGCATACTCACCAGTTCCTCGTTGTTCAGGGTTGACCTGTTCACCAGAGCAAACGAGATGCCTGCCTTTCGAGCAGTGAGGGTCTGTCGGAGGGAGAGAAAACCAGCGTCCAATTTCAACATGATATGGTGCATTCTGTTATTAAGACGTTTTCATTACGAAATCAAGCGATTACGTGGGATCATTTTGCCAAAAGATATTTAAACCAAATTGACTCTGGAAACAAGTGTCCTTACCAAAGCCTGGGATTTCCAAGTGTTCGTGAATGGAAATTAAAAACAAAGAGAGAGAGACTGACTTAGAGAAGTAGCACGATTGTCATGGCTGAAAACACAAACAGCAGACAGACTTAAACTTGTTCATTGTTACTGAGCGCAGAGGTGTCTTAACCGCCATGCAGGACTGCTGGTGGAGGCACAGAGCTCTCCAGAACAATTCAGCTATGCATAAAGAGAGATTGTTTATCCACTCATGCAGTGGACGCAACCGAACTGCAGTCATGCTTGGCATCTCTGTTCATTTGTCTGTTGGATGAAGCTTTGATCATATTTTCTGCTGTCTGCTCTGCACATTGGTTTGACACGAAGAGAAACACACACGAGACGCACACGTTCGTGAATGGGTGAAGCCAGATGTACGTACGCAGACACACACTTTGAGCAGACTCGCACACAGTGTTGTGAGAAAAAAAGTGATTGAGCCGCCTTTGCTGATTTCTCCTGGTTCTTCTCCTGCACGTGATATTTTATAAAAAGCTTAATTACAAGTTTGTCTCTATTTTTTTATATTCTCAGACAAATTAACCTTAATTGAAAGAAACTGCAGGGTTTGAATAATGCTTTTAGGTTTAGTAAGGGGTAAAAGTTATCCAAATCAACCTTGTCTTTCATTAAAAAAAAAATAAATAAATAATAATAATAATACATAAAATATAAAAAAAATATTCATAAATTTGTTGTTCAGCAGCAACTTCCAACTGGCAACGAGTGTTTTTTGCTCCCAAGGGAGCTTGGTCAACACTTTGCAGAATTGCAAATTGTCTTTTTAAGGTCTGTTTGCCATTCGAATTCAAGTACAGACTTCAACTAGGCCACTCCAAAACCTTCAATTTGAGAAGTCTTCCTTGTTCTGCTGCATAAGGTGCCGAGGCTTGAAGTTTTGCAGACTGATGACCAGACATCCTAATTTAGGATTTCCTGGTGGGGGGACTCAGGTGAAAACACAAAGGCACCATGTTTAATATGATGGTTTTCCAAGCAGCAGTTTAGGGCTTGAATTTCCTTCTCGGCCCGCCTCTTTTTACTGTTAATTCACCGACGCTGATCGTAAAGTGAGGCAAGTGAGGTCTCCGGTGCTTTTGTGGCCTCCTGGATCAGTCGATGATGCTCTGTTGGAATAATCTTAATAGGCTGGCCACTCCTGTGAAGGCGCTCCTCGGTCTATGTTTTCTCCAATAGGAAATGGATGCAGGTAATGACTAGGCCTGTCACAATATGAGCAATAAATCGATTAATCACATGATAAATTAAAAACAAGCTCAATAATTTCCATTTGTATGATTTATTGTTTTTCTATTTTCTCTCTCTCTTTCTACCAAAAACTGGATGTTAAAAGTCTTCAGTCTGATGTCTTGGTCTCAACTATAATCCCCCAGCCCCCACCCCCCTTTTTTTTTTTTGAAGGACATTTTTGTTTACAGAGACTCCATAATTACTTTTATTTGTTGTTGTTTCTTTTTTTTTTTTTTTGTGTGTGCTTATTTTGGATATTGAAAATGTCCTTCAGTTCCAGTGTTAAATGTTGATAAGAACTTAAAAGTCTCTTGATCCTTGATGTGTTCTTGCATTATTACGCCATTACCACTATATTATTTGAAAATGGTCTCAAAAGGCAACAATGTAATTGTTTATTGCAATAACTTCCAACATCCAGCAAAATTAGTTATTGTGACAGACCTAGTAAATGAGTCACTGCTTTACTGGAGCCTCATGGAAATGGCTTTGCATTCCACTCCAGACTGATAGGTGGCGCCACTCAGATGTTTCCTCATTTTAGATTATCGTGTTGTGTTGCTCTTTAAAATCTTTGGCCTTCCTCATGTTCTCAGACATGGGTCTTAATTCTAAACGTCGAGGTATTGGGGTTGATTTAGGCAACTTTTTCACACACACACACACACACACACACACACACACACACACACACACACACACACACACACACACATATATATATATATATAAATGTGTGAAATGATCATTTTAGAACCACACTTTGCATATATTAAGGGGAAGAGCTGCCCAAGTTTGATTATCTTTGTGTGGCACAAAGTTTTGTTTGATGATCTGAGTAACTAAAGTAAGTAGCAAAAACAGGAGAAATCTTTAAGTAGGCCAATGCTTTCTCACATCTCTGTACATATATGCACACACTCTTCAGCTCAGACGGTCAAAAATATACACTTGTGCACGCCCACACAAAATAAACACAAATCACACACACACACACTGATACACACACACACGCGCACACACACACACACACACACATGTTAATAAGCTCTCATATTACAAAATTTACTGTGTTTGGGTGAGCGTAAGGTCAATAAGTCCCAGACTGAGGGGAGTTATGTAACAGAGGAATGCAGACATGGACAGCTGACAATACTGGATCTGTCTTTACCACGACCCTCTCGTCTCCACGGCCCAGCTATGGTAAAGATCCATGGTAGCCATGGAGAATGTGGGGAGGAATGTGACCTCTACATGAACCGTGAGTGTTGATGTAAGTTTATCAACATGCACCAGCACTGCTGAGGTTGCTGCGGGCAATACAATATAAAAAGACCGTGCGTCCAGAGGTAATAATCTGTCAGTGCTTTGAGAATGGATGATTAACTTTTTTCTCTTTTTTATGTACTTTTGTTATTAATTTTCCATCATAAAAGCGGGGAATCCCTGCTGACCGTTCCAATCAAAAACAAAGACAAAAAAAATAAATAACCAAAATAAAAAGAAAAAAAAAGGCGCTGTTGCTGCCCTGAAGCAATCACACAGCAAATGGGGGACATTGACAAAGGGGAGGCATGAGAGGGGGACCAATTCGTTTGCTGACCACTGACTTCATCCCTCGTGTAAAAGGCTTTGCTCAGTGTCACTTTTACATGATTTAAAAGCCTCACACAGTTAAATCAGAAGTCAATGAAGTCTCTTTGGATATATTTTTGGGTTGAGTTGTCAACATTTCGAGGTAAATAGTGTGTTTTTATTTATTTTTTTTTATTTACTTTGTTTTGGGGTGTTTTTTTCCCCCCTCCCCACCCCGACACCTGCCGAGCGATAAAAGACGACAACTGGCGAGAGCTACGTTGAAATCTGACAACTCACTGAAAAATATCACCCATAGCTTTTATGGGTTCATGTAGGAATGGCAAATATACATGTAAAAAAAAAAGATATAAATAATCCAATAAGATTAAAAAAGAAAATTAAAATCAAAAACAAAAAAAAACAAAAAAACGGCAACCCATACTTACCAAGACATTGTTGGTTATTAAATTTAATGAGAGATATGAACAAATACAGCATCAACTCATGTTGTTCACTGTGGTACAAAACATTCATCAGCATCCATATGTATGACATCAAGCTGCATTATCATCTGCGTTAAAAAAATAAAAGCATTTTGCAACGACTTTGATCGATCGAAACTGGGAGAGAACACCAAACAGATTTATTCTAGATTTGAGTCGTACTATCGTTTTGGTTTTTAGGCTCTGGGTACATGAAGATGAAGAAACGGACACATGTGAGACGAACGCGTGTTGTGGCATGTAATAGACAGATACAGACAGAAACAGACATGAATGTTATTACTGGCATCGTCGCAGCCTGCCGCCTCTCAGAAAGAGTAACCATGTGGCACAGTGCTAAAGTGGGCCTCGCCGCAACAAGCTTCTCTGTGGGACATTTTACGACACATTATGTTGCAATAAAAAAACACAAATGGTGGAGCTTCACTGTGATGTTTTTTTTTTTTTTTTAACTACTCATTCTGGGCTAATTAATCAAGCAAAAGAGTTACACAGCTACGGTTAACGTTCCTGCACCTCAGGAGTCTTCCATTAATACTTCAGTTTTTAACTGACATTATGTGAGTCTAGTAATATTCCAAGGTTTATTATTTTAACATGCGGTGCTGTGAAAAAGTATTTGCCCTCTTACAGATTCCTTTAGTTTTCTGTTTCTTGTCACACAGTGTCCAAATGATGATCTGAATTTCATGGGGTGAAAAGGCGATCCAAACCAACCCGGCCACATGTGAACAAAATAAAAGCCTCCTAAATGTAATAAATGGGATTTCCAAACTTGATGACAACAACTGCCACTGAGCGTCTTCTAAGTTTTTTCTTGTAGAAATAGTTTGGTTGAGCCACAGTGGAGGGTTAAGCAGCCTGTTTAAAAGCATGCCACATGATCAACTGAGCCCATACTTGAACAGGTCATTTATCAGCTATAATGTTTATGGACTTCTTGCTACATTTCAGGTTATTGTCTTGTAGCTTGATAAGTGAGTTTGAGCTCACATATGCTGATGTTTAGTGGACAATCATTCACTGGTGTCTCAAAGTCTTAGAAAATGGCATGAAACCCTTTCCAAACCAAATACAATTTCATTATTAAGACCTTTTTGCCTACTTCATGTTGTCAGACGGGCACCGTTTAGGTGACATCTTGATTCCTCAGGTGTAACTATGCCTTTTTTGTAAAACTGAAATGCGTCTAATGAAAGTTAGCTGATGAATTTTAGATCGGACGAGGTTGGTTTGGACAGTTTTCACCATTTAAAAAGCGTACTTCATGTTTACTAAGGCTATTCTTAATTTTAAGAATTAGTCTTATGTTCTTATGCACTGAAGTGTGGCATCTGTACAGTGTGTATATTTATACATTTTCCAGTCATTGGAGTTACTTCCTACACCATGATTGATCCAAGCTTTTAAAATCAATCTTGTGTTTTAATAGTGACCTGAAACCACACTGTGCAAGATCTCACTTCAGCACCCATAACATTGTCTCCTATAGTTACCGCAAACTAAATCTGCTTCTGTAAAGCAGAGCAGCGTTCTATCAAGGTGTCAGAGACGATATTGTTGTGCTCAGCAGAGGCCAAAACTCACACGGCACAGAATTCCCCGACTGTGGTATAACATAGGGTCACACTGATAGATTTGACATAAATCACATGTAACCTTGTTGAGGCAGATGACTCACCAGGTCTCGGACAAGAGGCACTGTCCTTTTGCGGCGCAGATCTGGCATGCTGTCAATACCATAAAGAATACTGCCAGCCCTGTAGAAGTGGACAGATTTAAGGGGTATTAATATCATAATAATGCCATGCTGGGCGAACATTACTACGGCGACAGGGGAGGGGGACCGTGATTTACACAGCCAGCAAACGCCATGGATCATGCCTCCTTCCGAACCTGCCGTACCCCCACATTCCCTTCGCTTTGCATGGTGCGAACCTCCTACAGTACTCTAAAAAATCTCAGAGGAACAGACAGGATCCACTGCAGCTCAACACTCTATCCGTCTCTCTGTCTTCTAAGTGATTTTTTTTTTGTCCCCCTGCCTTTACAGACTTACTTTTACCGGCATCACCTTAACTGTCACTCAAAGCCTCTTTAATGACCTCAACATGACATCGGGGGCCCCAATGCCTCCACACAGATAAAGCTCCTGAAGCTCTTCTGTCAGCCTGTGTCGTGACACGCCGAGCGGTGCGTTTGCTCTGGCTTCTGGGCTGACTCTATCCGAGGAAGCAGCCCAGCTGCTAGGCATGGGCGTAACGGGATCTTGTGCCGTGAGATTCCACGACGTTAAGATGCCGTGACATTTCTTGCGATACTAAAGATTTGTTACTTGTTCCTGACTCTTATTAGGAAGTATAAGAGTATGTAGTTATTGAGTTGTTTTCTTGAGGTGTTGGTTGGCTCGGTGCTTGCGCCAACTGGGCTAAATGCAGAAACACTGAAAGAAACGACACCGCTTTTAAATCAGTGGAGTGGCAGTATTTTGAAAGCCTGGTAAAAAAGAAAAAAGTTATAGTGTGACAGACAAATCAGACAAAAGCAATTTTTTTGATAGAGCTCCACAATATACTGTATCACAATCGACACAATATCATTGTGTGCAATATTGCAATCACAAAAGACTGAAGCCATGACACAATCAGTGGGAATAGTACATTTTAGAGATGCACAGATTTGAAATTTTCTTGACCGATACCAATATTGTGTGAATTTTAGGGTTCTGTTTTGTCAAAGCAAATGATCTATGCCTATAACAGCTTTAACTTTTAAAATAAAGTAAAAAAAAAAAAAAAAAGTGCTATTATGTTTGCTTAGGATCCAAATAGTGAGACTTATTTGTTTTGGAGCATTTTTTTTTTTTTTTAGGTAAACAAAAAGTTTTCTGTATTTGTCCTTCCAATGACAGATCCAAGTCAGATCCAATTAACAAAAATTTATTTCCATTTCTGACTGAAGCACCTCTAAATATTAGTTATACATTGATATTTGATCTGCTGAATTGACTTTTACTGTCATTGGCATCCACAAATTAAGTGATCTGAGCTAAAATAAATTAAAAAAAAGGGTTGGCAACATCACAGTTCAATAAAAAAAAATAAAAATAGCACAATCGGATGTTTTCCAAATAATTTTTTAAAAAAAATCATCTTTCCACATTTCAGTTTTTTGACTTTTTAGAAGCAACGTGGTTTAAAATGTCTGCACATCACTACATTGTAAAGGCCTTAGTATTTTTATTTCACTTTAACTGTCGTGTGTCAAAAACAGGAAACATGATCCTCCAGTTGGAAAAACTCTCTGCTTGCACTATTTCAGTGATCTGATCCTGAGACTGAAAGGAACAGTTCACAGAACACAGGAAGTCCCATTTGTGTAATGGCGAACCAATCAGATCATGACATGAGCCACCACTCACCCTCCGGTCTGCAAACCAAGCAATTTGGGATCCAAAATACTGCGAGGCTGTAGAGAAGAGAGACACAGTGTAAGACTAGACGTACAAGGAGAGCGCACAGAACAAAAACAAACAGTGGCAAAAAAAAAAAAAAGGAAATGAAAAATACACAGCATGACAACGCTTGGGAAACTGCATGTCAGTTCAGGGCTGGTTAAAGGACTGGAGGAGGGGGGGAGGGGGTGGCACAGAACAGGGAGAGAGGAGGGAATCACTACAGGCGAGGTCCAAATTATTCCACAACGGTGTAATTTGTGGGCTCAAGACTGAGAGCTTTGCTGCACTAGATGCTTCAGGCAAGATTCGCCTATTGTGTAACTCTCCCTCCTCACTGGACAAGAGCCTATTTTAAAACACATCATTTAAAAAAATACATATATGCTGAATAAAGGAAAAATCAGCTTAAAATGACTACAAAATGGTACATGCTGCGTTCTCTTCAATCCATACAAATTTCACCTTTCACCGAGCTTAAAGAAAACACTCACAGCTACGTGCACATAGACAATGGGTACAAAAGTTGTCACCACATTGACACAAGGACACATGCACATGCAAGAAAATCACACGTGTCCAATTAGATGATGTAAAATAGCAAAACCTGAGTATCCAAAGCACTGGCGTCTGGAAGGAGAGAATGACAAGAGGAGAAAATGTTAGAAGGGATTAGCTAGCTGAAAAATGCCAGGGGCTTTTGGAAACTTTGTCACTTTTCGTCGTTTGACGACACAGTTGTGTCTTCACAAGAAACTTTTGCAGAAACGGAGACGGAGACAGGCGACTTAGAGAAATTATCTCTGGAGAGAAGAGCAGCTTGAAACCAACAGAGGACTTTTGTAAAGCAGGCATTTTTGGTGGAAGATTAGCAAGATCTAAACATTTCTGGCACAACTGCACAACTACTTCCAAAGTGCATGGAGAGGGACAAAAACCTAGTGAGGAGAAGACTGTGGCAACACCCGAAATACTTATTGGCTTACATTTCAAAATCATTACAGGTGAAGTTAATATCCCTGAATTTCCTCATAATGCATAGCTGAAAGTAGAAGAAATGGGCAAGCCAGGACCAAATTGTGATAGTTTGATAATAAGGTCACACAATTGACTAAGATGTAGGTTTAGGGTATTCCTGGTACACAATAGTCACAAAAGACAAGCTGCAACGTCACCCAGCCAAAATCCCAAACAAACTGCTTACCGACGATGACTAGCACTGATTTTGCTGTCGAGTTGACAACACATTAAATCTTATATGTACGCATGATATATACAAAAGAAAAATGGATGCAGTGCTTTGCTACTAATTGGCAACACAACTAGATAACAAGTTCCAAGGATGTCACAAGTCAAAGGTCAGTAAAACGTTTCAGTAAAGACAATGGCGAGGGAGAGGGAAGTAGGTCAGTTATGCTAGCTTGACTTTGACTACCTTACCATGTAGATGTGCTGTGGAATTTCGTGTGTTTCGGATCAGTTAAAAACAATAAAAGGTGACACACAACCCAACTCTCTTTAATCCATTGCTGTGTTCAGACAATCCTTTATTAATAATCACAGAATAAACATCAAGCGTGAAAATGTGATACTGTTCTTTGTGTGGGAAATGTTGGTGTTTTTTGGTGTTGAATCCTTAAAAATTAGTGGAGCTGTTTTCAGTCAGTTGCTATAGAAACGGGTCTGTGTATAGCGTAACCAACACAGAGAGCGAGATAAAAAAAAAGAGTAGTAGGGATTTTAAATTTTTCTTCAACATTTTTTTGAGGAATGCAGCAAAGTTCAGAAAGATAATGGCCTCTGTGTGTAAGGTGACTCAGGACGTGTTTGTGCAGCAAAACAATGAATTCAAGATGTTGATACTGAATTCCAGAAGCCACAGATCTCAGTGGACCATTTGAGTTATGGTCCATCCAATTCTGGACCAGACTTGGACCAAGTATGACAGCAGATGCCATAGCATCTGATGCTAGTTGCTATGATGCATCTTGGTGCTGGTTGCCATGGTACTTCTTCAGTGTGTCCAGTGGAGTCAAGACCTTGGTGGATCAGGGTGGTTTTGCAGCAAAACAAGGTGATCATAATGTAATGCCCGATTGGTATTTTTAACTAAGGAATTGCAGAATCGTCATTAAAAGTGTTTGCCTCTAATCGATAGCATCACCTGAGTCAACACTCATATTCATGTAGATATGGAACATTAGGCAGGTATAATCACTTAGACTCATGTTACAATTTTAAAGACCAAAGCAGGAGATTAGGAAAGCAAATGTCTAATTGTTGTCCTGGTGATCCATAGGTGATTTTACGACAGCATAATCAGGACATAATGCGTCACTAAGAGACTACAGCTGCTCGCAAGAGAAAGATCAAATTTTAATTCTGATTAAAACAGCCCAGCAGGCTGTTCGTCGTTATAAGTTTGCTTCATAAACAAGGGCGCGAGCCGGAGTAGCTTTGCTGTTCAATTTTTAATGGACTGCATTCCATCGTGCTTGATCGGTTTAATTAAAAGCAAAAACTGTTGGATAAAACAATATTCGTCAATAACTCTTTCACGTAACCATTACACTGAACCTGCATATCAACCCAGAGGGCAGTGATAGAGCTTTACTGCCATTACTGCTCACCACAAGTCCAGATCTTTTTAAGATGAGTGACCCTCATGGAAGCTCTGCGATAGCAGCGCTGCGATAAACGTCTCCCAGTCAGCACACGGTAGATTGTAAATACTAATTAAAAGGTTGACTCTGCGAGGGATTTTGTTGGGGTTTTTTCTGTTGTTGTTTTGTTCTTTGCGATCATGTTGTTTGTGACATGAACTCCGAAGGCGAGCTGAGAAAACTGCATCTCAAGGAGAGGTAAGCTGCCAGCCGTACTACGGACAGCAATCAACTGAGTCCCTTTCAGCAGAGCCTTATAAGATAGAGGCATTACTCTACCTGTAAGTCTGCAGCAGCACCAGATAAAGCCAGGTTACAAAGATAGGCTGTAGGCTGCTGATATAAACCTAATTTCACAGGAGCCTTAAATCTGTGGAACAAAAATGTAATTGATTGATAGAAACCCTCAGTGTGTGTGATTGTGTGTGTGTGTGTGATTGTGTGTGTGTGTGCGCTAAGGGACGAAGTGTTGTGGAGGTGACAGCTGCAGTAACAAATCCTTCTTTCAGTCTCATTGCTGACACACAGGAACACACCTTACATAGATCACAGCTCTGTGGAGCAGTAAAACTTGCACCTGGCTGGCAGTATTACCAGAACTGACCAATGTCTCCGCGAATGCAACCAGGGGGACTGACACGAGTCCAGATGTAGCGGTGCAATATACCCTTTCCTTTGCTTACAAATACAAATGCCTGTACAGGGAGAAAAAAAACGGTATCTCATCACCAGATTGACAAGTGTTTCATGGAATATATATATATATATGTTTTTTACAGATTTTCAGCTGTCAGTGCTTTGACAAGGTATGCTACAGTTACCATCCAACCATGTCATCGCTGCAGGGCATGAAGGTTTTTTCAAGCAGCTACATAAAAACAGGACGGGTTCTATGATAGTCTCTGAAAGCCTGCAGTATATTATCACTCCAAAGTACAAATTTATGTAAAATACATTTTTTAACATGCTATAATATTACTCCTTCATTAAAAACATACCTGGAGTTTTGCTTTTATATTTGTTTTGTGCATGTTTGAGGAATCCTTGAATCTCTCTTGGCAACCATTTGGGGGTGCCTGAACACTTGCTCTCTCCTTCTTGGAGCTTTTGCCTCCCCCACTCATCTCCACCCGACTAGCATCAGCAGCATTTAGTAAACACCTGGCGAAACTTTGAGTCTGCTGAGCTTACCGTGAGCGGATGGCCTCTTTTTTGTGTTTGCTAGTTTGAGATGGAGGTTCTGTTGTTATCTTGGATTTATTTGTTGCTGGGTCACCTGTTTTTTGAAGTTAGGCCACTTCTCACAAACTACTACTCACTCCAATGCTCCAAAGAACGGTTGTAAACGGCACAATGGAAAGGCATTGTTGTGATGACATGCTGAAGGCGGAGCGTCGGAAAGAGAAGGAGCTTCTTAACGAGACAGAGGCGAATTTCATGGTGTCAATTTGACTGAACGTAACAAAGTTACTTGATTGTGGTATAAAATAAAGCACTATGTGCCTGGAAAATACATAATACTACCACTTTAAGAGACTGCAATCGTCTTTATACCCTTGAAGCTTTTCCACATTTTATCAAGGTTCAACCACAAACTTAAATGTAATTTGTTAGAACACTTTGTGTTTCAGCCCAGCACAAAGTAGGTCATTGTTCACAAGGCAGCATGACGCCACAAAAAAAAAAAGACTGTTAAGGGCTCCAAAAGTGCTAAGACTGGAGCAGAGATTCATATTCCAGCAGTTCAACAGCCCTAAACACTTTATGCTCTACTATAAAAGTATGGTGGCATTTCTTATTGTGCATTTTCTAGCAGGCTGTAGGACAACTCCTTAAAGTCCTAAAAAGTTCCTCCCAGACAGCATAGAGGCCAACACTTCACTCCAGCTCTTATACCAAATTCAGAATTACGTTAAATTAACCTAATACAGGAAATGAGATTCAATATGCTTTTTAATCTCTGCACAATTAATAATTTATTGCTTTAATTTAAGATCCATGTTCCTGTAAAGCAAATTTGATATAAGATGATTTTTTGGGGGGAAGAGACCTTTTTGAAAGTGATGATGTGTCTGCAGTGTAGTTTAAAAATGGATCTCAATTCCTTCTAAGTGGGAAGATTATATGCAGGTGATATGGGTTTCCCCAGGCTGCTCAAAATGACTGATATTGCTACCATATTTTAAGATTCAAGAAAAAAGTTACAGAAGTTTTTTTTTTTTATTTAAAGTATAAGAAAATCACATGATTTGATATTGAGCTCTTCTAAAATACCGATATACCAGGGAGATTGTGTGGCGCACAAAGTAAATTATAGTTTATTAGCTTCTCAGCATTAGAGTGCAAGTTAAATATCACCATTTCTACTCAGTCCTGTCAGTCAATGCTAGAAGCATAACTAGAAGTCTGTTGTTTACCCTACTTAATCCAGAATTTTACTTTGTCAAAGAAGCTTTTCATTTGCCATACAATTAGCAACAACAAGAATCTCTGATCTCAAACCAGTAAGGCTCACATATGACTGGCTTTTGCAGAAAGTAAGATCCAATAGACTCCATTAGAAAGTCATTCATGACTGGAGATTAAGACAAAAATCTACCTGGCTTCATATAACTCCAAGTCCTTAGCAGAGGTAATGTCACCGCGTCTGTTTCTAATGTTGCACGTTAACAAAAGAAAAACTAGTGTTGAGTGAACTCCCCCCATCCCCCACCCCCGCCTAAAACAGCTTTAGTTATTCCAAAACCTTATTCTGATACTTAATCAAATAAAAAAGCTTTAAAATGTCTTGAAACTGATGATAATTACCATGGTAATTTGGAAGATGAAACGGAGGAAACTAAGCTTATAATAGGCACATATTTCAAAGTCGAACTTCTGAACATTTTGTACGTAAAAATATGCCAGCCATTTTTTTTTTATCACTGCCTGACACTAAATCAAAGCACTACACAGTCAAAATACTATTTGCTTAATGACTAAGGAATGAAAAAAAAAAAACATTTTTAAATAATTACTTAACTTCTATAAAGTTCAAAAGCTTACATATGTCTAAATTTGCCCTTTAAACTCCATGGCTTTGGTCAAATGCTTCAAGTTATCTGTCTCAAACCTTCTCTCAACAGTTTGTGAAAGGTTTGGGCTGAGATAACTCGTGTAACAGATTAAGGTTGTAGGTTATTGTTCCTATGGGAGTGAAGACCACTCCAAAAACATTGGCTTTGTTGTCACTGCATCACTTTGTGACAAGTTCGACAGTGCGCTTTGGGTCATTTTCCAGCTGGAGGACAAATCTGTGCCCAATCTGAAATGTGACCTAACGGATGTTTTGAGATGTTTCTTCAATCCATCCATCCATTTTCTTACTCCCTTGTCCCTTAATGGGGTCAGGAGGGTTGCTGGTGCCTCTCTCCAGCTAACGTTCCGGGCAAGAGGTGGGGTACACGCTGGACAGGTCGCCAGTGTGTCGCAGGGCAATGTTTCTTCAACATTCATACTTAATTTCCTTTCCTTATGAAGATGTTCTCAGGGTTGAAAGTGTTCCCCTTATTCCTCACACTGTAGAAATACTCATTATAGCGAAACACTTTAGCGTTAACATCAGCAGGCATTCCCTCGAGTACATGTGCAATCGGAAATCTTTATTTTTGTACTGCTCTTGAAGTAATTTTTTAATGTCAGGCAGCAAGAGAAAAAAAAGTTCTTGTTTTTTCACACAGTGTATGTAAAAGAAAAAGAAAGTCACCTTTTTCACAAAGTGCATGCAAATATCAGGTTTTAACTGCACAAATGCCATGTTTCTGATCATTCTTATCCAAATCCTATTAAAATGTTTTCTGAAAACAACATGTGGTGAAATATTTTAACAAGAAGAAAATTCTCAAAATCAGTAAAGAACGGTCTCCGAAACATTTGATGACAACATCTGCTTTAGGTTGGTGTGTTTCTGCAGAAAACTGCACAGATTTCTTCACAGGTTCAGTTCAGACTTTATGCCCAGAAGGTAAAAGTAAGTTCTCCCAACAAATAATTACAGGCATCATGTGCAGTAGCGACTCATCTATAGGCTACGATGGCGTACATATTAATATTTAATCTGAAAGGCACAACTTCCCCACATTGTGTGTAAGGTATACACAGATTTTCTCCTTGTCCTCCCACATACCAAATCAGACAATGTGCTGAACTGGATGGAAATACAGTACATCGGATTCTCTGCATATGCATTTTTCATATCCACACTGTATCAGGAAGTGATGCACTAAGCATAAAGAGGGTCTACCTCCTATGCTCCCCGAGGAGCAAACAACAAACTTTACTCGCATCAGGCCTTTATAAATATTCCTAGCGAGGCTGACCTGGTTACAAAATGCCCTTGAGGGGTGTAAATTAGCATCTGAATGCAGACTCTACTGTAGCCGGTTGAAGACAGATGTAAGAGTACGGCAACGCCGCTGAGACTCCCTGCGTAGCTCGCAGTCAGGCCAGACGGGACTCTCTGGACCATGAGCAAGAGGCGAGTGCGGTGGCTGTGAGGAATTTGATTGGTAGCAAATTGGACACAATTTAGCCCCAAACTTATTTGTGTTTGCCAGATTTTTAAATGTATTTTCATTCAGCCGATGGGAGATGGGAGGACAAAACAATGTAAAAGTTTTTTGACTGAAAATATATTTATGTTTATTTACAAAAAAAAAAAATTTCGATCAGTGAAATAAACCTTTTTTTGGACATTACTAAAAACAAAACCTATAACTTTTAGTCAAAGGAAACATAGTGACCAGGGGTCTGAATAATTTTGGGTTTCATTCTAATATTGTTTACAATTCAATTAAAGCCATAAAGTAATCTATTAAAGGAAAAATTTATTTAAAAAATAAAGGCCGCAATAACTTGCCAGGATAAGTGTGTAAAGTAACAGAGGAACATTTTATTTTTTCAGGCAGTACAAAGGGACAGAACAATTTCCCAGCATCATATATTGTAAGTACTGGACTTCAAAATTGATTGAAAGAAATGAGACAGAAACTGGAGAGTGGGGCAGCCGAGAGGCACTGATGGTATCGTAAAAGGAGCTGAAAGAATTTTTGATAAGTATTAGTTGTGTTCGACGTGTGACAACAAACTCCTGTAGCGCTAAAGACAGAAATATTTTGTACCAAAGAAAACATGCGGGACCCAGCATAAATAGCGAGATTTGATTTGCAAGCAGTATTGCTGACCTAAACTACCTTACTGTGAGTATCATGGTGGGACCAGGTGGGTCAAGAACTTTTGATCTGCACCAGGAACAGAAAATTTCGTAGCGGAAGGTTTTTTTTTCATGCCCTGTTGAAAACAGTTTCATCAATGAGTCAATTTTATTTGTTAAACTTGACCTTGTCATCCATACTGCATCTTGATTTAAGGTAAGAAAGGCTGGAGAGAGACAAAAGCTTAATGCAACCAGATGAATTAGAAAAGTGGCCCACCATTAAATTAAGGGCAAAAGGTGAATATTATAAGATCACATAAGGTATATGATAATCTCTTGCTTATGTTATTAAAATCTTCTGCTAGAAGGGTAGTTACGTTTTTCTGAATATTCATTTGGGCAACAGCCACAATGGCGCTTTTAGCTTTACTCTTTCAGTAACAAACTATAAAGCATTAATCTAAAAAAGAAAAGGTGCCTGTAACACATAGCTATCTCTTTTCAGTCTTTCAACTCAAAAGGTTTATCAACTGTAAGATTACTACTGATTTCACAAAAACATGTAAAATTATCAACAATTCATACCATACATAATGGTCATTTATTAGATTTACATCCCATAGAGGTTTCCTTCCTGCATTACTTTTGAAATAGTTATGTTAAGGAGCCCACAAGTTGAATGTACCCCTTGCAAAAATGACACTCAAGCTCAATGACTTGGTTTTAATTAAAAAATACTCCTGCCAGGTAATTTCTTTAGCAATCAACATTATAATTTTGACTGATGCCATTGTGCAACTTGTTGTAAATGCACCAGATCAACATTGTGAGATTTCAAATATATCCTTGTAACTTTTCTTATGACCACAGAATGCTGAGGACTCAATAAATGGTTCAGGTTCAAATTACATACAAGCAGTGTTTTCTGCATTCAAGCTAACCCACTTTCACATTACCTCTAAAAAATAAGTCTTAATCAACAGTTTCTTCCTTTTGTCAGTATGTATGTATATATACTGTATGTACTTACCTAATAAGTAAGTACAAAACTTGAAGACAATTTGAATGCATAACTAAGATTTAGTTGGGGTTCTCACTTTTCAGTAACTTTAAATTATAGACATACTACAACTTTTTTGAGGCTTCATGTACTTAAAAAAAATCAAAGTGTTGGTATAATAAAGGTTAAGAAGGGAAAAGTCATACCTCCTGCCAGAATCTGCTGCTCCAGTTCAGCCATCTGTTTCCTGTAGGCTCTCAGTGCTGCCTCCTTGAATGTGGGTCGAACACGCTTCTTGGGTGGCGTCTCCACCGGCTTCTCCTCTGGAACATTCTTGTTTTCATCCTCCTGTTGTTGTTGTTGTTGTTGTTCCTCTATTTCAGAGACTTCAACAGCCTCCTCGGCTATTTCCTCTACCTCATACAACTCTTCTGCACCCTCTTCTATCTCCTCTGTTACATCGTTATCCTCAGTCTCATCAGGCTCTTCAACATCCACATACTCAACCATTGCATCGTATTCAGCAGTGTCCTCGGTGAGTTGGTTGTCATAATCCTCACTGTACTCTTCTTCGTACTGATCATCCAAGCTGCAATCATACTCCAAAACTCGGGTTTCATTACTTGCATCAAAATCACCCGGGGCCTCCAAATCCTGCAATGCCTCAAGATCCTGCGAGGCATCATTGTCTTGAGAGGGCTCAATGTCATCAGACACATCATAGTCCTGAGAAGTCTCACATTCCTGTGCAAGCTCGTCCGTGTCCTGGTTCTCGTTAACATTAGTCCTGTTTTCCAGGTTAGCTAGTACCTGCTCCATCACTTCAACGTAGTGAGTCTCACTGTCCACAGATAGCTCTCCTGTTTCTGCACTTGTATTTTCCTCCTCTGCCTTGCTGAAGACAGGTTCCGCACGAACATCCGGTTCTGTTGCAGCAGGGGAATTATTTGCAGTAGAGGTGGAGAGTGTTCGAAAACGCCCCATAAACGAGGAAGAAGAGTTTGTTTGTTCCTCTGGAGGAGCAGGGGTGCCTTGGGAGCCAGATTTCCAAACAACCTCCAGAGCAGACTTAGCTCTTTGGAGAGTGGATCCAAAGCCAAAGCCAAAGGACTTTTCACTTAGATCGATACTAAGTCTACTACTCCAGGTTTTTGGAACCTCCTCCACTTTCTCTGTTCGTATCTCACTCTGGCTACGGTACATACTTGAGGACTTGCTCGGAGCCTGGTGAAAGCTATGATTAACATCAAGTTCAGGGAATTTTTCACTGGCACCTGTTTTTGAGGGTTCCTTGGCAACATCTTTAGAAACTGATTTAGGTGCTACCAAGGAAACATCTGTTGGAGATACTTTAGAAGGCTCTTTGGGGGTCACTTTAGAAGGCTCTTTAGGAGCTATGTTTGAAACTTCCTTAGGTGGAATCTTAGAAACCTCCTGAGTGGGTACTGTAGTTGTTTCCTTAGGTGGCGCTTTAGCCACCTCTTTTGGAACCTCTTTTGGGGGTGGTTTTAAAGCTTCTTTGGTAACTTCTTTAGTAACAGCCTTTACACCCTCTTTAGAAATGACTTTCTGGGGTTCTTTAGCAATTACTTTGGGGGATTCTTTAGGAATGACTTTGGGGGATTCCTTAGGAATGACTTTAGGGGATTCCTTAGGAATGACTTTAGGGGATTCCTTAGGAATGACTTTAGGGGATTCCTTAGGAATGACTTTGGGGGATTCCTTAGGAATGACTTTGGGGGATTCCTTAGGAATGACTTTAGGGGATTCTTTAGGGGACTCTCTAGGGGTTGAATCTGGAGTCAAGACAGGGGTATCAATTGGAGTTATTTTAGGGCTCTCTTTCGGTGACTCTTTAGGGCTTTCTCTAGGTGTGATTACAGGGCTGTCTTTTGAGATTGCTTTAGGAGTGACCTTAACAGTTTCAATGGAACTTAACTTTGATGTCACTTTAGATACTTCCTTACCTATAGGCTTAGTGGTTTCTTTGGGTATAAATTTAGAATTGTCTTTATGGACGACTTGAGAGCTTTCTTTAACAGCTGATTTTAATGTTTCTTTCTGTAATTCTTTAGGGGACGCTTTAGATGTCACTTTAGATGAACCTTTAGCAGAAACCTTTGTGTTTTCTTTTGCCGATATTTTAGATGTCTCCTCTTTAGGAGTAGTGACTTTACTTGATTTGGGCGTCACTTTTGCTGCAGCTTTAGAGGCTTCTTTTGATGATATCTTTGTGCTCTCTTTTGCGATCACCTTACATCCTTCCCTCGAATGCCGGGAAGAAGTCTTGACAGCTTCCCGTTCTGTGATGGGAGGAATAATATGGGTGGTGATAGGAGGTAAAGAAGTTTCTCTGTCAAGCATCATAAACTCCTCATCTCCTTCAAACTGCAAATCAACCTCCTGACACTTGGTAATGTTCTCTGGAAATCCAGGAATAGTTGATGGGTCAAAAGGGCTACTGACCTCTATTGAAGCTTCTAAGCCAGAGTCAGCTCCTTGCTCCAAATGATGCCAGTCTTTCCATGGTGAAAGATCACCTTGTAATGATACCTGTGAGCCACTGTAGTGGCTTCTATCCCCAGACATGCAGACAAGTCCGTTGCTAACCCCACTATCAATAGTTTCTGTAGTCTCAACCTCATTATGTTCATATGTTTGACTATCATGAGGATGGCTGGGACTAGCATACCAAGAGGAGGCCATGTCCTCTTGTTTTCTCTGCCACAGTTCTTGATCTGAGGAGGAGAGGAGGGAGCCACCATTTGCTCGTGTGAAGTATTGACTTTCTGAAAAATCTTCAGAGTACGACTGGCAAAGTTTTGAACAGTCAGACTCTGAACGACTAAGTTTTGGAGTTGAATAATCACTCTGAGAAAGCCATCCGGGGGTCATATCAGAGTAGTAAGCCTTTGCATGCTTGTCTGTGTCATAGTACGAGTCGTCAGCATAGTGGACTGTTCCTGAGTAGCCTGCTACGTCTCCTGACCTGCTGTGGTCATGGGACCGCCTCTTCTCTGATTTGGACTTGTGAACAGGCTTTGAAATAACCATTGCATATTTATTCCTGCTTAACTCATCCAGCTCTTTATCACTGTCCATTGAATCCCAGTCGTCACTTTCTACTACTTTCTCCTTTCCTGAGACTTTTATATCCATACTTTCATATGTTTGAGAGGATGACATTGTTTTGTCTTTCCTGTCTTTTCCATCATTTGTTAAACTATCAGTAGATACTGTAATCCCTGTACCTTTGAGTTTGTAGCATTTCTTAAGGACTACATCTCTGTCTTGGGGTGTTGCAAAAATGACAATAATAGGACGAGGCTTCGCATTAGAACATTCTCTTTGTTGCCCTAACCTGTGAGCGAGCTCAATTTTAATTGTTTTATGGGCATCTGTGAAACCCATTTTCTCTTTCAATATTTTGTATATTACACTCTCTGTCTTTTCTGATCTCTCTTCAGGAACATTGAGAAACCGCAAGGTTGAATTATTAGCCTGGTGGCTAATCTGTTTAATGTAGTCATGGATATCCCTTGTTTCCCTTCTTGACTGGACAAATCCTGATCTAAGCTGTTCAATTTCACTCTGAACTACCTCCACACTGCTGGAGATCTCATCAATTGAGCTCTTAAGGGCATTTACATGGCCACGAAGCTCAGATAGTTCAGTTTCTATCTGACTGATCCCCTGAAGCTCCTTAAAAATCATTTCCATTACATCTTGCGTCTGACTGATGCAACCTGTTGAGGAAGAGCCAGGCTCTAGGGTAGAGCTCTTTTGTTGTCGTCCAGCACGGTCCAGAGATTTGCTTCGTATGCCCAGGGTTTTCCTCCAATTGCTCACGTCGGAGTCTGAGGAGACACATTCCTGGCTCTTTTTCCATTTCCTTAACTTGCGTAGAGCCCCCAGCCTAAGCGTATGTAAACTAGAGCGTTCCACCCGTTCCCCCTCCGAACTGCCATCAGAGGGAGCTAAACTGATGAGGCTCTTCCTGTTTCGTCTTACTGGCATAGTGTGTGATTTATGCTCATCTAGTCTCCGGACAGGTTTTGTCTCACTCAAGGATTCAGAGTAACTGCTGTCAATCGAAAGAACCTCAGGAAAGATACTTTCATTATTATTTAAAAAAAGAGAACTTTTTGGGAGTCCATTTGCTATAGCTACACGATAGCTGAAAGTGGGTGACAACGATGAGCAGTCGTTCTTTCCGTCGTCCTCTTCAAGCGATATGTTACGTGCCGAAGAGCATTTGGAAATTTTTTTGACAGTTGTCTTTAAAGTGGTTGAGAGAGTTTGATTATGTGCTTGCAAATCAGCGGCTAATTTGGGCTCTTTATTTTCACTTCTTTCTTTCTTCTTAATTGGGTTTGCCAATTTCTTTGTAAACATTCCTTTGCAAATCTTTTCAATATAGAATAACACAGTCTTGATTAGCGCAGAAACCATGGATGGCAATCCTGTGGATTGTTTTTATCATCGGGTGAAAGAAGAGGTTGGCTTGTAACGGAGCATGGGTGAGCCGAGCATATTCAGGCGCTGAATGACAGAACAGAAGCCCAGTTCAAAATCACCAGAACCTCAGTTTGTCCAGAGGCTGAAAGACTTTTAAATCCAGTTGCCTTCCACAGGAAAAAGAACAGTTCTCTGTAAGACAAAAAAAAGAACAAAAGGAAAATGGTTCATGCAAGAGTAAATACAAAGTTCAAACATATGTACATTTTTAAAACCCACCTATTACAGTTCGAGTTTGCAAGATGGTATCTACTGATTGGAGCCAAAATCCAGTGTTAAAATCTAGTCTCAAGACTTTTGCTTCAAGTCATTAAATCCATGGAATGTATAAAATCTATAACCTTTCTCCTGGATACGAATTCAAACTGTACTGTTTGCATAATGTTGTTATGATATGCTGATATCATAACAATGATATCAGCATATGGTGGTATGGTTGGTGGTATGGTGGTATAGTTGGAAAGAGTTGGAGCTTCCAATTTTAAAGCATCAGAGAAAAATAAAAAGTTATTTTTTGATTTAAGCAGTATTTCCAAGTAACACAGTTGCTTGGTTGTGCTACAAAGTGGCACTGTGTGCTTGGGAAATGCATAAAACATCCTCTTTAAAAATCAACATACAAACACTGTTACCAGCTGCACTAAAATATGCTTAAAATTTATGAAGCATGATATTTATCCAATATAGAACAAAAATAAAAATGTATTTATTCTCAAAGAAAGACAGCAGAACATTAAGACAAGTAATAAATCAAAGTGCTTATTTCTTCCCTATCTCTGGTTTAGAGTTTTGTTTTCTCTCTAAAACAGAGAGAGAAAATTTTAATATTAGCAGACAATCATGTTCTAAATCTAAATTTAAACGCTTTGTTGTCAAGTCTGAACACTAAACGTGTTCCAGAGCTATAAATCACAACAGAATGTGCAAAGCCCTGCTTAGGGAGTCAATGTCAGAAAATGTTGACTTTCTGAATGAACAGGAAGTTTAAATAATCCAGACGTTTTTTGTGGTGGCAGAGCTAGCCTATCAGCAAGAGAGAAAGAAGTTGTAATTTAAGAAAACAACATATCATTTAATCGACAATACAGCGATTAGTTTGAATGTTATGTCGCTACAGCTAGCATAAACATGTTTTTATTATCTATTAACCGCCTCAAGTGTTTGCTTTGTCCACTCAGGTGTAACTCGAGTCCAAGTCTTTCCCCACTGTACCTGCAACACTCTTAAAATATATCATTTCCATTCATCAAAGTTATTACCCTGTAATTTTAAATAACGGTATAACTGAGGAAAATGCCATGACCGAAATCCTTGTTATTGTCCCTCGTTGAGTGTTTTTCTTTTTCCCAAAAACATACAGAATTATTTGAAGTGTGAAGAAAAATACTAATTTGCAGCTTTTTAAGCTTTTCCTACAGTTAAATATGAAGTACAATTTTGTACAAAATGCACTAAACTCGAAATTAGATCTAAACTGATTGGTTACATGCTAAAGGCACTTTAAAACTTAAAGTGAAAAACGTCACGCTGCGTTCAATCAAGTATGTGTGCATGTGTCACTAAAGGTCAATACAGCCAGTGGCTACATTGATGTATTCAGCTTTAAGAGCGAGAAGCTGGCCAATAATTCTAATGGCTTCAGCGCAACAATACTGTTGTAAGTGTCTGTAGTACAGACAGCAACAATATGCTTTAATGTGAAAGTTTGAATTTGGTTTAATAAGGAATGTTTAAGGTGATATTTTAGATTTATACACTCAGACTTTTATTACATCCTTTTGTTTTTAAGATGTTATATTAAACTTAAAAGCATAGAAAAAGAAAAAAAGTTTGGCTTTGAGTTAAGACACAATGCACATTTATGTTTGCCACATACTGACTTGGAATGAAAGATGTGGGCGTCATTACTAATTAAAGTGGTGATTCACTTACACTGTCGAACGCTTGATGTTCCAATTAGTTTAATTAGTACGGTTCAGCACCTACGCTTACAATATAGTTGAACAGAAGAGAAAATAACAATCTTTCAATACTTTGGAAAAAAAAAAAAGAGGCATTGAGTCATGCATTTGTTTAAGCTTCAGTCAGCTCCGGGCAGCTCTGAGAGGTGTGTGTGTGTGTTTTTAGATTGCAACTGGTCAACTGAGTCAAAAAGAAAGAGAAAAAAAAAAGAGGGATGTTGTGTTGTTCAGAGGATCTGACAGCTGCTCTGCATTAGTTCTGGGCTTTAGAGCTTGATCTGTCTACAGTCTCATGACCACAGAGAGATGCTCACTTCAAATGAGCTGTGAAACGCAGCTTCACAGGTAGCTATTATTGTAGGGCTCAGAAGAAGGACGATGCATTAGATGTCAGAACGTAAAAATACTGGTTACTGGTTTATGTTTGGATTTTTTTTCTTGTTGTTTTTCGCAGCCACTGCATGATAGACTGAATCTGGAATGAATTCATGTCTCTAAAACTCAGATATATCTACATGTAGTTTACTCAAGCTGTCGTCCAAATATTAACAAAGTCGTTAAAGCCCTCCTAATTAACAATACAAGTCAAATGTTGGCATCTATTGAGGGTTTCTTTTTTTTTTTTGCAATCCAAAATGAATGAATAAAAGCATCCATAGTTGGTAGCAGGAGTTTCCTGACTCAGCTTACTTACTCACATACTGGCGTATAGCCAGAGGCAGCCTTTCTGCAGCTGATGGGTCATGATCCAAAACAGTCCACCCATGAGCAGCATATGTCCACAGATTGCCTCAACTGTTTCCATCAGAGCTCCTGGGGATCTCAAATTAATTGTATATTTGCGTGATAAACCTTTGACTTATATCGTGCAACATAAGCTAGACGCTGAAAGCAAACACGAGGTGGGGGGGGGGAATGCATCGTGATGACGTTGATCCATTAGTATATTTGAAATGCACATAAAATCTGACGGATTATTTATTTTTCTTGAAAGGGCTTCCAAGTTTGTGTAATTTTTTTTAAAGCTGCCAAAGAAAACGCTGATTCTTTTTATTTTTTTGCTGTTCTACAGTTACAGGCACAGTAGTCCCAATCTGCACAAAATATTAAACACTATGAAAGGAAGCGTGCATTTCCTGGAGATGAATTTTTTTTTCTTTTTTTTTTTTTACTTTCTTACACTAATAAGTTACAATGTCATCTTTCTTCTTATCAAACTGAATACCAGTAAGCTTAACTAATAAGTAAAATGTAAAACCTAAAAAGGAGAATGTCATACATTAGCAATGAATATAAACTGACAGAAAACAAAATAAATATTCTGTGATATTACAAGGTGATGCAACGCACCATCTGCAAATGTTTTCTTTTTTCATTTAGCAAAACAGAATAAATGATGTAGACAGATACGACAGCAAACGTCTCGTTAAAACTGAATTTGGTATTAGGTCCTTCTGTCTCTTTCAATGTTATAAGGATGTAACAATGGTCGTGGCCTTTAAATATCAAGGTTTAGAAACCAGGTTGAGCTTCCTTTACAACGTCTTGCTAATTGAACATTTTTTGTCACGTTACAACCACGAACTGCAAAGTATTTTTCTTGGATTTCATGTGATAAAACACAACAAAATAGTGTATAGCAATGGAACGTAAGGAAAACGTACAACTAAAAACATCTGCACCCGACCACCTTTACTCTGATAAAACCGATTAACATTATTTAGCACCTGACAGGGGTGACTTCTAAAGGTGACGAATCAGATTTTATTTAAAAACTCACTATATGAGCCTTTTAACACTTCAAACACACCTGTTCCACCTGTCTTCTGAAAATGGACGAGTATGGCACCATCGAAAGGCAACCCAAGTTCTGGTCTTCGAGAGCTACTTTTCAGAAACCTTCAGATGTGTCCCTTCTTTAACACACCTGAATCGAATGGCTCGTTACTAGGCCTATGAATGACCTGCTGATTCAGAGAATTCAGCAACAATTCAGGAGTGTTGGAAAAAGGGATGCATCTAAAAGTTGCAGGAGAGTAGCTCTTGAGGACCTCCGACCTGGAAAGCGACTGGATGTCAGGGCGTTCTAACAAAATACCCGGCCCTTAAATCCTTACTTGAGATGCAGCAGATGGACAGACCGAAGCGATGTCACCTCTAGAGCTTTTTTATGGAAGAGTCTGATCTAGAACTGGTCTGGAAATATAATTAATCTAGACTGCTGTTGCACGTTGCAAATAGCTTTTGCTGATTTGAACAGCTAAAGATAATAGTCGATCTCAGGGACTCTGTGTTGTTGTCTAACCATAGAATCTCCCCTCTATGGGACAATAAAGGCTATTCCTATTCTATTCTATACCTTTTCTATATACCTTTCATCTACGGCTGGACGATATGGCTAGAAAATAAATCACGATTTCATATCAATCAATATCGTTTTGCCTTTTTTATTTCTGTTTTAAATAGCTTCCATTCCACACCGTTCTTTTTATTGTTAAGCAGCTATGAGGCACAGTGGCGAAAACCTTAAACTGCTGCTGCGCCAGCCACTCAACAGGTTGTTGCTAGGTAACCAAACAATGGATGAGTTAGTTGACGCCACCCAACTTGTTCAGCTGACTGAAAGTGGTCGAGAAGCTAAAGCCTTTCCTCTGCCTACATCCCCCAGAATGCTGTGCAGTTTTGGTTTCTAGTTGAATATTCCATTGGGATGTATTATCTATTGATATCGATAACGTCTCTACCATGATATATATCGTTATTGATTTATTGTCCAGTCCTACTTTCATATTAAATGGGATCTCTGACGGTATGTGCTTATCACACTCTGCTCCTAATATGTGCTATTATGCTTGACTGTGGTATGTGAGATATGACTCTGTCTGGACAAACTGATGAGAAAAAAAAACCTTTGTGTTTAACGAGTGGTGATCACCAATTGGGGGGCTGCTTGTCATTTCGCACAGCCAACACCCTGACATCTGCATGTTGAGGTTTGACAAATGAAGCGTCCATCCTCCTCGTGAGCCAGAGTTGATGCTCAAATGACTTACTAATGCCCATGAGGTATTGCCTGTATCATCCCATTAGAGAGTAATGATGCAAGAATTAAGAAAGGGGAATGACAAATAACTGGATCCCCACATCCCCGGTCACGAGTATTTTAACATGAACTACCGTCGGATCTGCAGACACGCCTCTGTAGGACGACTCTGCAGCATATTTGGTTAAAACGGGGAAACTTGAGCACAATTTGAGTAGATTCTCTTCTCGGCAGAACTCATTCGGAATCCTATCAGTGGAGATAAGTGGAAAGTGAAAATTGGTTTCCAGAGAATAAGTTGCAATAGTACAGCCTCAGCCCATCAGAGACTGTGGCTTTGTCTGCAATGTACATTAAATATTCTTTGTTCTTACATTCTAGATAATCTCTCTGGGATTGAAATACAGAACGCTACATGTGCAACTGTGAATTAAAATTAAAAGGCATGATGTACTGTACCGTTCTGTACTAGGGGTTTCAAAAGTCAGGGCTGAAAACAAATCATTCAGGTCACATTGGCCCTATGTAGATAATCAATAAGGTTTTCTCTAAACTGTTTGGAGCATAGAGTGGCACAGGGCTTCACCTTCCCCACCTGTTGCTGCACTTGCTAAAAAAAAACAACTAATTTCCTTACAAAACATGAGAAATGTAGATGTTCTGAAGAACTACAGTTTCTTAAAACATCCTGACCACTAAATTTAGCAGGTGTTTAATCTTTAGCTTAGGTCTATGCATTAAGATTAAAATAACCAATATATGTTAAAGGTAGCACTACAAAAACTCGCTGTTTTTCTTTTTTTAACTCAAGTTACTATGTATCCTTTTCTCTGCTGTCACAAGATTATTGCTCATAACCAACACAGTTATCAGATTCTAGGTCAATGGAACGGCCACTCTGGTCTGCATTAAATGATAGGCATCTTCTTGGATTCATTTTTCACCAGCCTAACCTTTTTTCATAGCGGTCCTGACAGGTCAAGAGACGAGTGGCTCATGTGATGAAATAAATCTCAGGATTCTAGTGGCTCTCTGAAACCATCTGTCCCGTTTCACCCTTTTCTGGGTTTGGACTGAGAGAAGCAGGTGAAAAGGGGTTAGTAAAAGCACTCCCTGTGCATTTTCTTTTCTTTTTTAAAAAAAGGGTCTTGCATTAACATCCAGAGTTTCCCCCCTCGTCTTCTCCTCTTGCGATCAGCAGTGCGCTCCACAGTTTAACACCTGTACAGCATGTACTATCGTTGCCACTCCCCTTTGGAGCAAACAAAAAAAGAAAAAAAGTGTGAGTCGGAAGCATGCTAGCCTATTTCCACTCGCAGCAGCGTATGGCTGGTTGTGCGTCGACTGATGCGAACCCCCGAGTAAGCCAATTTAAGCTCATCATGCTCCTAGCACTTGTGTGCTGCCGTGCTGTGGAGGACTGTTTGTTCCCATTTCCCTTCTGGCTGAGACAAGAGAGCTTTTCTGCAAACCTTTTAGAAATTGATGCATATAGATGAGACGAGATTATGTGTTACGTCATGTCTCCAGAGCATACGATTATGGATTATGGTCGAGTGTGGATGAGGAGGAGGTACAAAAAATAAATAAATGGAAAAATAATGTGGCTGTGTGCACAAATGTGCATCTGTGTTGTGCAGCCGTGCATGAAACACACATGTGCCACGCAGCCATGCCTCCTTGCATGACTGCTTTCACGCATGCATTTGCTTGCTGAAGAGCAGCATATACATCAAGTGAGAGCTGAGCAAGAGGAGGGTGTGTGCATCCTCAGATCATATTGCCCTCACGCCCATCCTTAGCTTCATTCTGCCTGAGTGGTCCATTTCCAAATAGAGGAATATCCGCCTGCAGCTTAGGAAGCAAGCCAGTAGCACAACAGATTGTCTCCCTCCATTCATCAGCATATTATTTCTTGGGCTGTCTTGACGGGATCGAGGGTAATTTGGTTCGGTGTGACACAAACAGCTTGATCACATGCGCCCGTGTTGTGGCCACGTTATGCAGAAGAAGCGGCGGCAAAGGGAGAGAGGTGGGAATTTTGTGAGATCGACAGTGTTTTTTTTTTATTTTATTTTATTTTTTTCGGGTGGGGGCGGGGGGGGGGGGGACCAAGCTGTGCAAATCGGGGATAAAACTGCAACAGCTGGCACGGATATGAACGCCACCTCGCACTGTTGTATTTCTCACGTCGGCTGCATCGACAGATGATGCCCGCATCCTTCTCAGATAACGTTTCATTAAAGCACTCACAGGGCCACAGGGGCAGGGGGAGGGAAGCAACAAGAAGAAGAAGAAGAAGAAGAAGAAATACAACAAAGTCCAACCAGTCACCGGTCTCCCATCCACACCCCCCACCCCACCTCTAAACACAGCATGCAAAACGCGCATCCAGCGCCCCGGACGCGCTGCGCCGCCGCACATACCTGCCAAAATCTCCGCGCGGGACGCAAGCCGGAGTGAGCGGAGCGAGCCGTGTGGAGCCGATTCCCCTCTTTGAGCGAATGGTCGGCGCTTGGGAGAGAGAGCAGGAATGCTGGGGATGAGATGCGGGGAGGGAGGGGACAGAGCGGCTCGGTGGGTGCGCAGCTGGCTCTGCTAATACCAGAGCTCACAGCATCTCTCCGCGTCCGTCAGACATCACAGTCCCAAAGCGCCGCTCCTGCGAGGAAACGCGCGCGCACGCCTCTCTCTGTCTCTCTCTCTCTCTCTTTCTCTCTCTGCCCCCGCCGCCATGCCGCCGACGGCATACAGAGTACCCTCCGGTCTTTGGGTCCTTGTTGTAAAAACCCTGAGCCAATTTATTTGCTCCGCGACTGATACACACTCCTTTTCTCATTGACAGTGTGTGTATGCGGGGCGGGTGGCGGTGGCGCTGAAGGTGGCGAAGACAGCGCTGCCGCCGCTGCTGACGCTGATGACTGGCTGGCCGGAGTCAGGTTCTGTTCTCCGGCAGGAGAGCATCACTCCGTCCCCCACTTTCTCGCTCCCTCTCTCTCTCTCTCTCTCTCTCTCTCTCTCTGTGGGTGAGTGAATGTGCGCTTGTGTCTAGGTGTGTGCGCGTGCTCGAGTTGAGCTCAAATAGACCCAATTCAAGATACACACAGGAGAGAGAGAGAGAGAGAGAGAGAGAGAGAGAGAGAGAGAGAATGGTAATTTGGGGTTTTTAGAAATAGCACGTGAAAGTGTCATTTCCTTACACCTTTGTGATGTAACATGTTAATCAACCCTGCAGAATGTTCACTAGCAAGGTGGGGGTTCCTACTGTTGTGGTTTTCTTTGTTTGTATTTTTTGAGATTTTGCGCAAGTAATATCCATGCGCGATCCCAGCATGCCTATGGTGCGATCATGGGCATGACTAGGTGCAGTAACGCCACGTGGGGCGGTAGAGAGGGGTAATTGGAATTAGTTGGACAGTTCCCAATGCATAATACTTTTTATGCAGCAATGTTGAAAACGCTTTGGGAAATTTCAAAATTGATTATTAATTTTGTAATTAATTTATGACTGTTATGCGCTTATGGCCACCCTCAGACGATACCAGTATATTTTATTGTCATTTCCTAAAATATTGGCCTAAGTCATTTTTTGCCAAAAGTACTTTTTGTTTGTTTGTTTGTTTGTTTGTTTGTTTGTTTGTTTGTTTTGGCAAGCAATGACATGCTAATAACTATTATTATTTAAGGTTATTACTTTAGCAAAGCCAAGATTTGGGTTGAGTTGCTCTTTGAAATAATGGACATTCAATTGTTATATTTTAAAAAACATGCCTTAACATATCAAGTATGCTATTGATAATCTCACTTTTAGGTTTTTTTTAATACTTAGATTTTAAGCTAAGCTATTGCTGAATCTAAATAAAATCATTTTTTGTTGTTCCACTCAATGTTTTATTTTATTTTATTTTGTTTTATTTTATTTTGGTGGACCTATCATGCCATCCCTGACGAAATTTCCTATGAATTAATTATTTGCTAAAACCTTTTTCAATTAGTTCAGTATTAAACCAATTGTTTTATGTATCTGCTTGCAGGGAATGATACACGAGAAACAACAAATACAAAGACTGTTACTCTATTTTTGTTCATGCAACCTTGACGTTAATGTGTAGAGTTGCCTAACTTTAGGTGGATTGTAATGTGCTTGCATGAAAAACGTTTTATGCATCCAAAATAAATTGGTTGTGGCATCAAAACCGCCTAGATAAGAGCTCTACATCTTCCTAAATCTGGAATTGGGAGCAGTCTATTATGACATAATTAAACTGTCACTACAGCTTGTTAAATACATCCTGGAGTCTAATTGGCTGACCTGCACAGGATCTTAACTTCAGAACACTCATCTTGTTTCTAGCCGTCCATTTTGACTTTAATTAGTAAGCCAGAAAGAAAAGAAGTCTTGATATAATGGAAGACAGAAGCAGAAATATGAATAAATAAGTCACATTTTTACAAAATAAATGGCAAGAAACATTTAAATGACACATAAATATACTTATTTATTAATGTTTGTTCCTCCAATTTTATCAAAATATAAATATTGGTTTATGTTTCAATTTGATTTGATAGGGCACTTTTGGTCTTCCATAGGGATTTAAAGCTAGTAGTGGTCAAGTAATAGAGCAGATTTTTTTCCCCCCTACTTGCTCCCCCCCGACTTGGGGGCCATTCAACATTCAAATAGAAGCCATCTTTCTCTGATGTCCTCCGTTAGTCTGCCTCCCCTCCGACAGTCCTGATCTTCTCTCCCAGCCTTTTTGTGTGTTATGCCTTCCCTCCAACAGCCACTAATTGTCTGGCCTTCAAGCAAAATCCCATTCCTCTCCCTCCCTGCTTCTCTCCGTCACATGGGAGAGAGACTGGGATGTATGGAGACGCCAGCGCGCAAGCGTGTGTGGTTTTCAGAGGAGAGTGGGTGCAGATCCCGAAGGCGGGGAGGAGGAGAAAACGGCTCGCCGTCGCCCCCCGTCGGAGATGCCAGCCACTGCAACCTCGAGCCTCAGCTGTCTTTTGAGTCAGCCTGCCTGACTGACCCACATGATTCTCACCAATTACTCGTACGCGCTCGGGCAAACACAGCAGAGCGAATGTTGATTTATTTCAGCATTTGACACGGTTCAGTTCAAATCTCATTTTTTTTTTATCTGAGGCGGGCTGACTCAGCAAATTAGTGGCATCTGGTTGGGATGATTTGATCTTTTAACAGTTTTCTTGGACATAAAAACTGTGAACACACGCAAAATGGAGACGAACGGCAGATTTGTGTCAAATTTCATCGTTTGGTTTTAAGTATTTTTTCAGAGTTTTCGTGTCGTCCCTTCACACCGTCCGCTTGATGGTTGCTTTCTGAACCCTCTGGAAAACAACTGCCGTCTCTGTCTGTGCCTCCAGGAGCCAAAGAGGACGACGGCAAGCCAAGTTTTCTGAGGCCCTCTCCATCTTCGTTCTGCTCTCCCTTTATAACCCCCTGGGCCGTCCAAAGTTTGCGTAGTAAACTAACAACTTTCTCTGTCCCATAGTCAGGTCTGCTTTTAGCAGAGAAAAGCAAAGTTGCAACTTTACTACAAAGAAAAAAAAAATCCATGAAGGATTTGTGTTGTTGGTCCCTTTATAACAGATTAATAGTATCTTACCTCTTACCTCTTGAACTTTCACATTTTGTCATGTTGCACCTTCAGATTATAATGCATGTTAAGACCAACAGAAAATGGGGGCATGTTCATGAAATAAAAGAAAATAAAAAATATCCTTAGTGAGGAATGCATTTTTTTAATTCATCCCCTGCAGCCAATGCTTTGTGGAAGCACCTTTTACAGCAGGCACAGCTGCAAGTTTACTGGGGTATGTCTCTACCAGCTTTGCACAGTTAGACACTGAAATTGGTGCCAACTATTATAGCCAATAGCTCAAGGTCTGTGAGACCAACAGCAATTTTGAAGCAATGTCCCAGATCAGATTTAAGTCTGAATTTTTGCCTGGTCCATTCAAACAAATGAATATCTTTTAATCTAAGCCCTTCCTTTGTAGACCTCATTGTCCCATCCTGAAGTGTTTTGCATTCTCTTCCAGTATTTAGCATCATCCATCTTCCCACCAACTTTAACCAACTTCCTTGTCCCTGCTGAAGAAAAAAAAGTCCTCTGTCCCACACAAGGAGTGTCACAAACTTTAAATTGAACTTTCCCGTAGCTTTTGTTCGACACTGGCTATTTTCTTGCCACAATGGCTTCCATTTAAAAGTATCAGAGCAAGTGCGACAGAACATGCAGGATATTTTTTTTTTCATTTTAAAATAATAGAGAGTCATCTATCATCCATGTATGAATTAATTTGAGAGAGCAAGCAGGGGGACTGAGAGAAGGTGAATGATTAACTTAAAGGGAGCTCAACTAGATGAAAAGGGGATTACGACCTAAGGCAAAATAGACTAACAATGATCTACAATACAAACAGAACACAAAAAACAAGTAAGAAACTAAATTTAAAGAAACAATAATCTAATAAAGACTTCAAAAGTGATCAAATTACAAATGCCATATCGACAAACAGACATGCTATTTTTAGTTTTGATGAACGTATTAACAAAAGACAATCACTATTGTATCTGAAAGTGAGCCATTTAAGCTTCTTTCTACAATATGTCGCAGCAGATGGAGTTCAACTGTTGTGTCATTTTGTTACAAATTCCAGTCTGATTAAATTTGAGCATAAAATATTTAAAGTTTAAAAAAAATAAGAAAAAACTTAAAATAGTAACGTTTTTAGAGCTGCTTAACATCATGCAGCAGAAACGCAGTGAAAGTGGACTCCCGCTAGTTATGCTTTCACAGCACAGGAGTATTATGGACTAATCGCATTTTGTGAAACAGCATTAACGTTGAAAGGTAGCGGAGTGGCATTAGACCGCAAACAGTCGTAGCACAAAAGCCGAAGCCGAAGCCATCAGATTAAAATTCATCATCAAAATATCTCCTGATACAGAGTTTTATCATCTGAGAGGGAAACGCCGGAAAGTTGGCACTAATGAGAAGGGCAGATGGCCTTTATATGGCCCTTCCGAGGTTAAAATCTTTCCATTGGAGCATAAAGAGATAGCCATGGGCGGATGAAGCATTAAATCCAACACATGACTGTCAGCTGAAAGGGACAAAACTATTTTTTTCATTTCTATTTAGGAGAATAAAAGACACTAAAGTTGCATATTCAGATGACACAGCTGTTTACACACAGCTGGCATTAACTCACACTGCCTTCAGCTCTTAAAGTCTAGATTATTGTTTATCCTCATATCAGCAACCGGGGAAGAAAGTAAAACAAATATTGTTGTTGGGGGTCGACTGGATGAAAATAAAATTCTGTGGACTGTGGAGGCGAGGAGCTAAGAGGTCATGAGTGTAGTGGGAGCTTTCCAGAACATTTCGACTGAGCAATTGTACGGCTAAATGATCATTCCACGAACATTTCTGTCCGCCGATTCATGCTGTCGCGCCTCCTATTTTCAGCCATTGTGGGGTCAACAAAATAAACATTAGCAACTTTTCATTTGAGAAGCTGGAACACGTCATTGTTGCTCTAACACCCATTTAACTTTTTTTTCATTTTACAGCCACAAACTTCAATGCATTTCATTGGGAATTTAAGAGATAGACTAACTGATCTGATAGTCTGGTAGATGTGATTTGATTGGGGCCAAAATTGCGACATTTGTTGCATCTTCAGCAGGTGCGGTTTGCTTTCTCGCTGCACTCTGTCAAACGAACCAAACTAACTGAAAAACCTGTTCACCTCCTCACCTGTGGTGCCGCTGCACCAAGAACCACTGAAGGAAAAAACTCAAAAACCTCAGAAGAAGACGAGCACACAGAAAACGGAAAATGGATTCGATTTTAGAAGTTGTTCAATGTCTCTTTATTTGTTGTTGATAAAAGACCATGAGCTATTTCCACCTCTATCTTTATGTTTGTTTTGGTTTTATTTAACCAGAATGCCCTGCGTTACAGTCCACTTCCTCCTTTTGGAGTGGTCTGCAGTCCGCTTGGATCCACATATGAGTTCAAACGG